CACCAGGAAAAGTACTTGTGCACAGTGTGGATGCTCAAAAGCAAACCACATCTGTTATCTGTGAGCACATCTGTCACTCACACTGGGGAATAGCTATGGCCCACAGCTGCTTCTGGCATATACCTGTGCACCCCAGCAGTCATCCTGAGCATAGCCTTATCCTGGGAAAGAATGCCCACAGGCTGCTAGCAGGCTTTTGGATTGTGGTCCCTTCACCAGTAGGGCTGCAACTTCCCAAGCACACTCCCCCCTGAACTGTCACAGCTGTGAGGGATCACTGGCAGGGTTCCCTCTATTCATTAGGAGCATTGACAAGCAGTTACTGTGGAGCTGAGAGCCTCTGCTGGCTTCTGCCAGCTGCTATCAGTGAACATCAAATTGCTGTGCTGAGGTGGCAAGGAGCAGCCCCGGGCTGTGCTAAAGCAGCAGCTCCCTGGTACTTACATGCTGCTGACGGGCAGCTGGCTGAAGAGCTGCGGCACAAACCGTGCAGACACCAGTGTCTGGCGGTTGGGCTTGTTCAAGCCACAGGCCAGTTTTGCCAGTGTCTGTAAAACAGAAGAGGGTGGAAACTCTGTTATTATACACCATCTACTGGCCTAATGTGACTCTACCTAACAGCTTGCGCTGCATCACCTCTAAGAGCTGCCTTTGGAATAGTTGCTAGGAGTGCGCCCAGCACCACTGCTTGCTCTTAGGCAGTATCCACCTCAGGATTTGACATGCACTAGCTGGGTACTCTGAAAGCAAAGCTGCTTCCAGGCTTTAGTTCTGTGAATTGCTGGACTCTTACTCCAGGCAGAAAAAGGTCTATCATCTGTTGTGAGTGCTATAGTTTTCCATCAGGCAAACATGTTAGAGCTTCCACAGCATGCCCATAGTGTTCTCCAGGCTATGTCTCTCACTATGTCTTTTCCTTTCATTTTCTGTGTTTGTCTTGCTTTTTCGCAGCATCACTATTTTAATCTTCTCTCTGTGTGGTCTTTCTATAGACAGCACTTTTGCATAGTGCTGCAAAAGGAAACCTTTAAAATGCAGAACTGCTAGCCTGGAAGGCATGTTCTCCTATACAGCTTCCTTTTCCACTCTAAGCTACCACAGGGTCAAAAATACACAGACCAATTTGAAGTATGTTTAGCTGGGTGTTTGAGGTTTTATTGAACAACTCTAACAACTTCCTCTTTCACTGCTTTGCCACACATCCTGTAACTAAGCAAAATTTTTTGCCTGCCTATTGAGCTATGACCCTTATCAACGGTCTATTTTACAGGCTTACATACACTTGAACTCATTTCTAGACAAAGTAGATTCCTTTTCAGATATCCAATCACTGTTTTTCTTGTCTGGCTGGAGACTTCCAAGTTTACCCACCTCATAAAGTGACGTGCTGCAAGCCAAACCAATCACTGAGACTTCATACGGAGAAATAATTTAATTTTTCTGTCACTTTCTGTAAACGGCACATGCTGAAACAGGATTTAGCATTTCTATAAGAGCACTTCTATTACTGACATCCTGCTGCTTGTCCACAACTCCAGGCTACTTCCTGACTTACTGTGACTTAGCCAAAACCATGCGGGTTGTTTTTTATAAACCATGAAAACAGTCAGCATAAGAGGAGCATAAGAAGCACTGTTTAGTGATTTCAGACTGATTCTAAGCTTTTTCAACCTCAGAATTTTCAACTCTAGTTTCATCTCAGAACTTTCACAGCTCAGGTCCTGAGCCCCATACGTGAAACACCTGAATTCATACAAATGTTCCCTCTCTGTTTGCTTCAGTGAAAATACTTGCTTTTAGCAGACCTCAGACAGATCCTCCCAGGATCCCACTCTAAACATCCCAATTTGAGTGCAACTCACTGAACAAAATCATTATGGGAAACAGTACTATTTCCTTCAGCTAGATGCATGCCCTTCAGACAGCTTCAGTCATTGTTGTCTGCTACAGTGTCATCATCAGGTTATTCAGCTCAGGGTGAGGAGCGTTAGAAATCTTAAGGTTGACACCTCACAGCTGTAGTCTTTACTGCACATTTGGCCACTTGTGCTGTCAAAGAGGGCACATAAATGAATTTGGCATGAGTGGTTCTTGAGAAAAACATGCTATTATCCTCCAGGTGCTGCCAAATTTATTTGCCTCATTCATCACCTGGGTTCCTGATGTACTCTAGCAAGGTACTTCATTGGGAAAAGCAGTTCCTTGGGAGAGTTTTCTGTAGAAAAAACACAAGTATAAGGCAGGTAATCTTCACCTTGAGTTTCAGGCAACAGTCACTGTAGCCAATTTTACTGACACAAATTCCCAGCAACTCGGAGGCAGAACACCAGACTGGGGCACTGAGGTGAGCTGGGTTGCTTTTTGTCTTTCTGGTGAGTCAGTGTTTACCCTGCTGGCCGTGGGGATTTGGGTGTTGCTCAGCCAGCTGGTGAGAGCAGCTACAGTAGCACTTGGTGCATGACAGCAGCTGCAGAAACAAACAGACTTTGATGCTGCAGCTACAGAGGGTTTCCTGCCGGGTGAAAGGCAGGCTGATTTACTGAGAGCATCCCTTTTGTTCTTCAGAAAAAGTTGGTACCCACCGAGGTCAGCTGGCTGTAGAAGCACAGCACAGTTTTCTGCACTGTAGTGATCTCTGCACTGTGCTTGCTGCTACAGATACACAGTTCTTCAGGGATATTTTACAGGGATACCACAGTACATCACAATGTCCTTACTCTCTCAAAAAAAGTTAAAAATGCTGGCATAGAAAATGGAAGCTGGGAGAAGCTGCTAGGAATATCACGGAAGTTCTCTTACTCTTGATTAAACAGAGCAAAAAGACAAATTGAACATACCTTCCACTGAAAACTTCTACACCATTTGACCTTACTCAGCTAGCTCATTTCTACCTCACAGTCTACTCTAGTTTCAAACTGAGCCAGTGCAGAACAAGTTCCAGTCCCTGTGTACAGCTGGCAGTAGTACCAGCTGTTTCTGCAGCAGTCTAAGATGAAAGATATCTTCCTTGAACTCCAAAGCATTTATTTAGTCTTCATTTTCTTTTATTTTTTCTTTTTTTTAAATTCAGAGCCTGCCTTTATAAAGTTATACCTGTATAAATAACCCACTCTTCTGCAGAACAAAAGGGATGCTCAGTAAACCACCCTGCATTTCACCCGGCAGGAAACCCTCTGTAGCTGCAGCATCAAAGTCTGTTTGTTTCTGCAGCTGCTGTCATGCACCAAGTGCTACTGTAGCTGCTCTCACCAGCTGGCTGAGCAACACCCAAATCCCCACGGCCAGCAGGGTAAACACTGACTCACCAGAAAGACAAAAAGCAACCCAGCTCACCTCAGTGCCCCAATCTGGTGTTCTTCTGCCTCCGAGTTGCTGGGAATTTGTGTCAGTAAAATTGGCTACAGTGACTGTTGCCTGAAACTCAAGGTGAAGATTACCTGCTTTACACTTGTGTTTTTTTCTACAGAAAGCACTTCTGGAAGACTTAAGCCCCTTTTTCTCCTAGTGAACTCACTCATTAGGTACCAGGAATCCAGGCAGTAAATCAGTGGATTGCTGAGTGCCCAGCCCACAGTTCTGAGGAAACAACTCCTCCCATTTCCAGATGTCTTATAATTTCTCAGAAGGTGTGGTCACACATGGTGGCATTCCCAAGTTGGTTCATCTTCTACGGAGACTTGTAAGTATAGGAGAACATCTACAGCATGTTCCAACTCTGCTACCCAGAAGAAATCAGCCTGATGTGTTATGCACGTACCTTGTTATGTGAGATGCCAGCTGAACACCTGAATCCGGTAGCTGCTTCCACTGCCACCCTAATTTCTTCCACAATTACTGCACCCATGGTCAGCTGCAGGTCAGGACAATCGGGGTTATCGAAAGACAGTGATGCCAACCACTCGTCCAAACCACGTTGCCGCAGCTCCTCTAGAAAAGGGACATAAAAGCCATCACAAGGGGACATGGCACTTCTTGCTGAGCCCAGCAGCATCAGCCAGTCCAAGCCAGCAGCCGGAGGCTTCTGTAAGTGCATTCCAACCACAGGGAGGAGACGCAGGCACCTTAAAAGCCCTTCACTGCGGAAAGCACAGGCCCCATTTACCACGCTCTCGATTCGGGGGAGACAAAGCAGGCGGAGCGGACCCTTCCCGGGGGGCGGGGGTCGGTGCGTACCCTTCCCGCCGGGATCAGCTCGGTGCGCGCCCTTCCCGCCGGGATCGGGGCCGGGCTCTCCGGGCAGTCCCTGCACGAAGGTGCTGGGCAGCAGATCGGCCGGCAGGGGGCGCCCGCGCAGCTCACGCAGCCGGTGGCGCGCGCTGCCCGTCAGATCCAGGTACGCCTCGTCGATGCTCGCGCGCTCGATGGCGGCGAAGCGCGACAGCACCTGCATCACCTCCGCGCTGGCCTCCCGGTACCTGCCGGGCGGCGGGCACGGGCTCAGCCGCCGCCCCGCGCCACCAGGGAGGCCCGCGCCGCCGCCGCCACCCCCGGCCCCTGCTCTCACCGCGTGAGGTCCGCCTTGCCCCGCGCCTGCGGCACCCGGGCCAGCGCCAGCTCAGGGCACAGCGCCCGCGCCTCCGACGCCCACATCCCGCGGGACACGCCGAAGGCGCGCGCCTCGTAGCTCACCGCGATGATCCTGCCAAGACACGGAGGTGAAGTGCAGGGCGTGTCCGGCCCAACGGGGAACGGGGTGGGACGAGGAGCCGGGATCGCCAAGCCGGCTCGCCTACCTACCCGCCGCCTTGCCACTCGGTGTACTGCACCACGGCGCAAGGGCGGCCGCGCAGCTGAGGGTCGAGGCGCTGCTCCACCTGCATGAAGAAGCAGTCCATGTCTACCAGGGCCACCACGCGCTCCCGGCCCCGCGACATCCCGCCGCCACCGACTCCCGCCCGACTGAGTGAATGATTGAACAACCGCCCGCTCGGTGGGGCGGAGAGCCCCGCCTTGGCCGCCGTTTTGCGGCACCCGTACTTTCCGCGTGGGGCACGCCGGGAGTCGTAGTTCTCCGGGGCGCGGTGGGGCGTGCGCGTGTCCCCGCCGCGACGGTGCGCGGCGCCCGCGTTCTCCCCGTGTCCCCGTGCCCCACAAGGCGCATGCGCGGAGCTGCGTCCCGGCCGCCCCGCTCGTCCCTCCCGTGGGTGGCCGGTGGCGCGCGCCCGCCGCCGCCGCCATGTCCGCCGAGCAGGTGAGCGGCCTCTGCGAGCAGCTGGTGAAGGCGGTGACCGTCATCATGGACCCGGCGTCCACGCAGCGGTACCGCCTGGAGGCCCTCAAGGTACCGCCCGACCGGGAAAGGAGGGAGAGAGGGAGGGAGGGCGCCGGCCTCCGGCCACGCGGGCGCCCCGTCCGCACGGCCCCGGGGCGAGCGAGAACCTGGCGGGCCGGTCCTGGGCGTCCCCTGAGGTGCTGGGAGCCGTCAGCAGGCGGCGGGGGTCGGGCGGCCGCGTGTCCCCCGGCGTGCTCCGCAGGGATGGGGCTGCCACCTCCTGCCCTGCTGTGTAACTGCGTGTACATGTCCCGGCCCTCGCTCCCCTAGTTCTGCGAGGAGTTCAAGGAAAAGTGCCCCATCTGCGTGCCCTGCGGGCTGAAGCTGGCGGAGAAGACGCAGACGGCCATCGTCCGTCACTTCGGCCTGCAGATCCTGGAGCATGTGGTCAAGTAAGTCAGCTCGTCCCGTGCCGCCGAGCCGGGGAAGGGTCCCGGCCTGCCGCCACCCAGCGCTGGCGTGGGATCTGTGCCCATTCCTGCACCTCCCGCCCCAGGGAGGTACTTTCAGGACGCAGGGAGTTTGTTCTACAGCAGAGCATAGTTTCAGTCCTGCTCTGTTTTTCTTTTTCTGTAAAAGAAGAAGAGGAGAGAATTGCTTTCGGGCAGGTTGGGAAGGTGAATTCACTGAGCTGTAAGACACGTTGACATCACAAAATGAAAATAAGCACACTGGGTTACCAGTAGGTCTTTGGAGTGTTCTGTCATTGGCCTCCTGCTAACAAAGAGGCTTTGTATTAGTTCTGAGATTCCTTTCTCTGCCGCTTCTACAGACCTGATGGTTTGTGCTTCTGCTTCTGGTGTCTGCTGACCTCGGTGGGGTACTCCCATTTGCCAGCAGCAGTTTTAACTCGGCCTATTTATTAAGGGATTGGGTGCTGGCAGAGGCAGGGAGCTGTAGTGTCTCTAATTTAGGTAAAGAAGCAATGGTTCCTTGAGATTCAAGTCAAGAGATCCTTACAAATGTTTTGACTTGCTTTCCTTTTTGCTTGTTTGTTTACTTTTAACAGATACCGCTGGAACAATATGCCTCGCCTAGAAAAAGTTTATCTAAAGAACAATGTTATGGGCCTCATATCCAGTGTAAGTACCTGCTGCCCCAGGCTGTTCTCTGAAATGTGAGAGCAAAAGTAAAGAGTACTCCAGTTAATTAGCACAGAGGATCTGGATTCAGCTTTGCATTTCATCGCTTTTTTACTTTGCATCTCTGGTTGTTTCAGTGCTTTTCTCTATCTTGTCAGATGACTAGCCATGCTACCTCACATGGCAGGAAGTTGTGAGGCTTGTATAACGTATATAAGGTACTTTTTGTTTTCTTAGGAGGAAATTCAGTAGCTATGGATGTTCTTGTTCTTTGTAAAAGTACTAAAGCCATTATCTTAGTCGTGTTTTGTCTGTTGTTGTGATTGCTCTTGTGACCAGGTGACCTTCTTTTGAGGAGAATCCTTCTGGTTCCCAGAGTTTATTAGCTATGGATGCTTGGGAGCATAGGAGTGTCATCTAAGGTAGCTGCAATGAAGAGCTGCCCAATGTGTTTTGTTTTGGTTTTAGTTTCTGTGGTTTAGAATGTTTGCAAACTCTTGTCTTTCCCAGGTCAGAGTTATAAATCCCTGATGCTTGATGTTTTGTGTAACTGTCTCCTTTCTCTCACAGGGAACTCAAAGTATCCTGGAGGAGGAGAGTCACATTAAGGATGTGCTATCTCGCATTGTGGTGGAGATGATCAAGCGGGAATGGCCTCAGCACTGGCCTGACATGCTTAAGGAGCTGGATACCCTCTCCAAGCAAGGGGTATGAAACATAGCTGTCTGGTCTCTTGCTTGCTCTTAGTATGGGGTTCAGTCTTCCATCATCCTATGGAAACTCTTAACTCACTCATGGTCAAGTGAGACTGGTTGGTGATGGAGTCAAAAATCCCTGTAAGATTAAGCAATCCTGAGATGACTTTAGTAGAGAGAAGGCCATCAAAGTGTGACCTATGTCTTCATGCATGCTTGCTTTCTCTCCACATCTTTGAGCTAGTCTCTAGAGATTTTAATGTTTGGACTGTGCTGATAGAGTGTATTTCACTTTGGGATATCAGGAAACTCAGACAGAACTGGTGATGTTCATCCTCCTACGTTTGGCAGAGGATGTGGTGACTTTTCAAACTCTACCCACCCAGCGGCGACGAGATATCCAGCAAACCCTCACCCAGAACATGGAAAAGATCTTCAGCTTCCTACTAAATGCCTTGCAGCAGAATGTCAACAAGTACAGACTCATGGTAAGAGTCTCCTTCCCTTGGGTTTAGCCTGTGCTGGAGGCATTTGGGAACTGGGATACAGCAGCTCATTGGGGAAGCAAGTGCTGAAATTGAAATCTGTTGCCGCCTCTCTGAGGTAGGGATCTGCTGTGGCCTGGGAAGCTGGTGCTGGTCAGAGAGACTGAACACACAAGGCTGATAGTGTTAGTGTTGGTACTTAGATTTTGCTAGTGTAAATGGCTTGAGTGGGTGCATGCTTCATCCATACTGTTGGAATGCATGCTGGCACCAGTGGTGTACAGCTTAGCAAAATGAAGGTGTGGTTGTGGCAGAAACAGGTAATTTGGGGTGGTTTATGTAACACACAGTGATTAAGAAATGCCATCCAGGAATCGTGTCTACTCTCTCACGCTGCAGTGCTACGTTTGAGGTGATGCACCAAAATGCATGAATTTCTCATGTCTCAGCATGCTTCTGGGCCTCTGTTCCTTTTCTCCAAGAGCTCAAGTCAGGAAGTCCTTTCTTTGCGAAGTTGTAGTGAAGAATGCTCTTTATTTTTGTATAAACAGACTTCTTTCTTGAGTTCTTACTTAGAGTCAGAAATGTGTAGGTCAGTCATGATGGTGGAGTGGAGTCTACCCCAGTCTATTCCTATGAAAATGAAGTGGATTTGAGAGTGAAGCACAGTCAAGAAACCAAACTAGAAACAAATTCCTTAGTCATATCTCACATTCTTTTCTTTCACTAATTAAAATCCAGAGTTATACTAAATGTGAACTGGGAAGCAATGAAAAACCCTTTCTCTACCTGACTTCTCTACACCTTCCTGATGCACTGTCAGGCTGAGCAACCCCCCTGTAGAGCAGACTGTTTTCTGTGCAGTTCATGGTGGTGGGAGGGTGACCCTTGTGTGTTTTGTAGTCTGGTTGAAATGCGTTTCCAGGTAAGGTTTGCATTGCAATGCTTGAGGCTCTGAAGTGTGGCTGCTTCCGCTAACAGTGGAATCTTTCTGATTGGCAAGGTTGGAGCACCCCAGGAACAAGAAGTCCTCACTACTCCACAGGTTAGCCGATCTTTGGGCTGTTTGTGCACAGGGTCGTTTCTGAGGGGTGGGTGTTCACCTGTCTGCACACAGACTGGGGGAGATGATGGACAGGTCCCTAAGACTGTATAATGTGCTGTGCTTATGAGTATGATGGATTAATAGATAAACATAATTTATAAGGCGGATCATATATTAAATGTTTGTGACTCAAGCTGATTAAATTAAAAGTCACTGTGATGAATAGTCCAAACCAAAACTTTGCAGTAGAAAAAAATGCTTGTGGTGTCTTTGCATCTGAAAAACAAATGAAACTTGTGTATCTGAGGGACTTGTTTGCATTAGGCAAAAAGATGGTACATGCAGTGAGTGCATTGTTGCTATTAAATGTCCTAGGCCTGGGAGTCAGGCTGTAAATTGTTGCTCCAGCTCTCTCCAGCTGCCTGACCATGGACAAATCACCCTTTCAGACCTGAATATTAAAGCATATCTTCAGAATCTGGCTTTTGGGTGTAAGATGCTCTTAAGAGGTCAAAAGTTTCTTTTATGGAAGCCTCCAGGAAGTACCAAAATGCCTTTCCTTCTTGTCCCCTGTGTCTCCAGTGCCTGCAGACTGGAGTGTTACCTTTTGGATGAGAAGGGAATCGTGGCTTAACTTGGCAGTTTAGAGTCCTGTTGTCTTACCTGGCTGGGGGCTGCAGAGGTGACTTTGTTGGCTGGAGCAATATCCTGAGTAGAAGACTGTTGCAGCCTCTTTTTGAGCTGTGTCTTTGAGGATAAGCCTGTCCAGCAATGGCTGGGTGGAAACGTGTGCAGTGGCTGTTCACTTACCCTCTCTTGTTTTCTTTTTCAGAAGACTGATTTGGCTCAGGAACCAAAGGTGAGTGGAGCTATATGGGAGTTATCTCATTAGTAATTCTCAAGAATTACTTGAATTAACCTTCTCAAGTAAGGTTACTTAGGTTAGGCTTTTCCCAGGCTTTCAATTCTGTTGCTTGTAGTTTCATGCAGATGGATTTGTTCACTCTTAGTACAAACCCCTTGAAAAGAGACAAGTGAGGAGTGGAAGCAGAAGGGTCCAAATATCTCAGTTTCTCAGGGGGGTTCTTGGTACTGTTATTTCAGGGAGTGGGCGGCTTTAGATGGGAATCTGTGTTTTTCTCTGGCTCTGACCTTGTTCCTCCTCTCTTTTCACAGGCCCAGGCAAACTGTCGTGTGGGGATAGCGGCACTCAATACTTTGGCTGGCTACATTGACTGGGTAGCCCTAAGCCATATTACGGCAGACAACTGCAAGCTCTTGGAGATGTTGTGTCTGCTCCTAAATGAGCCTGAACTCCAAGTTGGAGCAGCAGAGTGTCTCCTGATTGCTGTCAGCAGGAAAGTGAGTTCTTCCTCCCTGGCTCTTCTGGCTCCCTTTTATTCTTCTCCTGTTCTCTTATATAACTTTTCAGACTGAACAATGATATCTTTGCCCTTTTATCTGAGAACCAAAATTCAAATTTAGCTGATTCTGTTAATGATTTTTGGTGTGAATGTCATGCCAACATAATACATAGAGCAACCATTGGAACCCTTTCAAAATTCCCTGCTCACTTCTCCTTGCAGTTTGAACTTGGAGGTTCTCACTGACCTTCTACCCCCCACTTCCTAGAACTGTGAAGTGGAAAATAATGTTATCAGCTGTGTCACCTGGCAGCTCAGAGAAATGACACCAGGATCTAAACAGGTGATTTGACCCATTTGTTCACAAGCAGCTGAGTGTCAGGGCTGAGTGTTTATCAGCTGCCTGTAAGTAACTAGCCAGTCTTCTGTGAATAAAAGATAACGTCTCAGGGTCAGTTTTGCCCTGTGAAGTTCCTGTGGTGGGATTGCTTGGAGACATTTTTTTAGATTGGATACCTTGGAATTATGGCAAGCTTTTACTTAAATCATATATGGACTGTAAGCCTCTCCCCAGATGGAAAGAAAACTGTGATTCTCCTAATTTTGCTTGCAGATGGAAATAAATATTTATGTAGATGGAAATAAATAGTTATGTTCTAATTGAGGCATGTGGTGTGTTTTGTGCGTAGGGTAAGCTGGAGGATCGGAAGCCTCTGATGGTCTTGTTTGGAGATGTTGCCATGCACTGCATCCTCTCTGCTGCCCAGTGAGTACCATGGTGCTGCTGTGATTTCATACAAAACTGCATACAAATGGCTCTGTAGGTGCAAAAGATACTGTTGCTTAGGAAAAGGAAGCAGGGACTGGATTGGAGAGAACAAAACCACTATTTCTTTTGCAAAATCTGGAAAACCAGGATTTGGTGGTTTTTTTTTTTCAAAACCCATAATTGAAAGAGGAAGAGGTGTAAATATCACAGCGTCCCTGGGTTTCTGTTTTAGCCTGAAACTGATCAGGAGGAGGGACTCTTTCAAAGAGGCAATTTCAGAGGTTTTAGATGCCAATAAAGCAGTACTTCTTGATAATAGCAAAGAAAATCCCACTGCAATAAAATCAAATTGCTCTAGTCCTCTTTTTATCTACAAGATAGTCAGCAGTGTGCCAGTCACCTACAGTGTGAGTAACTGTGATCCTGTTTTTCCCCCCTTCCCTCGTTCCCAGGACAGCAGATGGAGAAGGCCTGGTGGAGAAGCACTATGTTTTCTTGAAGAGACTTTGCCAAGTTTTGTGTGCATTGGGCAGCCAGCTATGTGCGTTGCTAGTAAGTCTTTATCAATACCAGCAGCAACCCTGGCAGGGCTAGTTTTTAGGGCTGGGGCTTGAGGCAACCCTAATCTAAGGTAGGACCAGGGTTCTCTGCACATTTGGCAGCTGTAGGGTTCTCTCCATGCATTTCCGAAAGGCAGAAATGGCTCTGCTATTAAGTGGGTTAACTGTATCCTGGCAAGTCATAGGAATGTAGACTGGAGGGACCCTGACTGATGCCAGGGCTTTGCTGTCATCAAGAACCATTTCCTATAACCTCTGTAAAATGCTGAGCTTCACTGAAAATTGGTCAGGTTTTTAGCTGACTACTGCTACAGAAAATCTAGTCCAGGAAATTACTCATCTATTGGAAGCCTTTTAAATTTCCCAGTAAAAATAACTCGGAGAGTATACCTGTCTGTTCTTCTACCAAGACTCTCAAGCTGAAGGAAGAAACGGGTTTTGTTCCTGCTGTTCATCTTTGTAATGCTTTGTGTCAAGGTTGAAATGAAATGCAAATTCATACTGTTGGTGCCATGCTGGTGCTGAATTCCCACTCCCTCCATTCAGCTCAGTGCTTCTACAATAAAGAGGGCAGGCTTGTTGAGAGATGCTATTTGTGGGGAGATTGAAGCAACCAGCCTGTAAAAGTGGTAGAGCAAAGTAAAATCTCATAAGGAGGGAAAGGAAAAACCAAAAACAACCTTTGAGACGTCATTCCTAAAAAGAGTGGACAACATACAGGGTGCATTACTACTTGCAGTGACTCCCCTTGCTGTTGGACAGTCAGAGCTGTTAATCCATAATGAAGTAATGAGATGGAGCTTGCTAATTCAGATTCACTTGGGAGAGGCAGCACTGAGCTGTACAGTTTCAGGGATGTTGAGGGCACCAGGCCATGTTACAGTTTCTGAGAAGCAGCAAAATTTGAATTCATGGCTCTGGGCAAAACTTAATTTCATTACAAACTTCCAAGAAGGTTACTGGTCATGGATGCACATATGTTAAATACACAAAATGTTTGGAGAAATTGGGTGAAATTATCTTTGTGTATTTTCTTGTGGAATTCTTCAGTTTGAATTGCACTACTTTGGTACTGCTATGTGGGGTTGACACAACGGGAGTAAAGTTGTGACTTGCGGCAACAGTAGTGGTTGTGAATTTGGTTTTAATGGAACTCCACTATGTGAGAAGTCACCCTTTACTTTTGGATGAGGGTGGTGGTGTCTCCAGCACCTCCAGGCTGGTCAACAGAACTTGATGCTCCTTGGGCTATACTGGTTTCAGAAAAAAATCAGTTGTTCAGTGTTTCTGTCTCTGCTCCTTTACAGTCTATGGCCTTGGATGTAGTGCTCCTGCTTTACCCTGAAACATACCATTTGTGAGCCCAGCCTGCCATAAAGTTAGTATTTTGTCTGAAATACTTCATGTTCCTCATAGGGCTCAGATTGTGATGTGGAAACGCCAGCCAACTTTGGAAAATACCTTGAGTCATTTTTAGCCTTCACAACCCATCCCAGCCAGGTATGTAAAGGACTGAAAGTTTCAAATGTGTTTGTGTGTGTGAATGCATAATTGAGCTAGCCTGTAGAAAACAGAACTTCAGCTGCTAAATACTGCTCTCCCGGCTCTCCATTTCAGCTGAAGGCCTGGAAGGCAGTGTTTTATACTCCATTACCACCCCATCAGGAGCAGTTCCTGACAGAGAACTGAGTAGAAAATTGAGAATTTGCAACCATCCCTGTTATTAGAGATTTTTTGCTTTCTGGGATTTTGGGGGGTGCCATCAAGGTGCCTTGGCCTCAACTTAATAGTCAGTATAATTTGCTGTTGGTTTCTGATAGCAGCACTTAATGTTAGCAGTGGAAATTCCAGCACTGAAATCCTCCTGCTTCTCTCTTTTCTCTCTTCTTCCCCCAGTTTCTGCGGTCTTCCACCCAGATCACATGGGGAGCTCTTTTTCGGCATGAAGTTCTGTCTCACGACCCTTTGTTGCTGGCTGTTGTTCCCAAGTATCTCCGTGCATCAATGACCAACCTGGTGAAGGTATGTGAAAATCACAGTTGGTTGTGAGAAGGGGCCTGGTGAGCGTGGCCTGTGGGTCATGGGGGAGGAGACTACATTTTTGTTGTGTTGTGGCCAGACATGATCTCCAGGCTGCTGAGCACACAGTTGTATCTTACTCTTTGCCTCCAGCCTTCATCTCCTTGAAGCTAGTGTTAGCTGTGATGGGTGATTTTTCTTTGTTCCTGACCTTTTCCACTTTGTCTCCAGGTGGGCTTTCCTTCCAAAGCAGACAGCCCCAGCTGTGAATACTCCCGTTTTGATTTTGACAGTGATGAGGACTTCAATGCCTTCTTCAACTGTAAGTTGCCATGACCCTTTGTGCATTCTGTTGTCTGTGCCTTTCTTCCTGCTTTTAGTCACTGGCTGAGCTTGGAGCCTACCAAATTGGCTTGGCAGCTTCCATTTGCTTCTCAGCTTCTTAAGTCTGGATCTTGGAGTAAATTAAGTTAGGATTTTCCTAGGGCAGCTCATGTATTTAATTTTACTGTTATTTGTTGTTGTTTTGCTGGCTGGTCAGATAGATGGCCTAAATAGCATCCTGGTGTGAAAGCAAGTGTGTCTTTTGGTCACCTAGAGAAGGAAATCAAACAGCCTCAATTCATGCTCAGGTTAGGAAAGGAAGGCAGCTTACAAAATACTTTAGATGCCATTCCAGAAAGAAAATCTGTCTTGGCCCTGGTAGGAAGCTTCTGGTTTAGTACCAATGTAAAGAATATTTTAGCAGAACAAGGGCATGATATTTTAGTAAAAGCCTGTTTGCACAAGCCAGCTTTTAATCCAGGCAACAGTATTAAAGGCAGTGTCCTTGAAACTCTCCTGGAGCAGCGAGAATAGAGAAAAACAATGGCATTGTATATTGGGGAAAGAATGTAAAACAATATGTATTAACCAATAGTAGCTTGCTGAGCCCTCAGACCCTGTCGGACCCTATAAAAGTGTGCTAAAGATAGAAATAAATGACGTTCAACATACTTCTGTGAAGACTCGGTGAATAGTCTGAGTGGTTTTCCAGTATACCAGTAGCGGGAGTTGAGCAATTAAAATAGCCAAATTTAATCGGGATCTCAAACCAGTACTGGATATTAATGATTTTACTTTTTCTTTCATTTTGTATTTTTCTTCCCAAAACTGAAGTTGGTTCTCACTGGCTGGTGTAGTTCAGTACTAACTTGGGTGGGAGAACACATTGAATAAATTACATAAATTTTTACTTTTTACATTTATATCTGAAGATTTTAAGTGTTGTATTTTTTATTGCCTACTAGATAGTTTCACTTACTGTAATAAATCCATTTGAGTAGAAATGATAAAGTAGTTAAATGCACAAAGCCAGAATCTGAAATAGTTTTAGAGGGAGTTATATTGAAGACATTACATATATAAGAAATTATAATTAATTTGAAACACAAAATAAAATTACTTGGCAACACAATTTTATTAAACAATGGAAGTTGCATTTGTACAGTCAGCAGAGCTGATTCTTTTGTGTGGTCATGCACCGGAATATTTTGGAACAAGTGAAATTCCTGTTCTGTACTTTGTTTTTAGTGTATTGAAATTTGAAATTTGAAAACAGGGCAGCTGGGTTTTGAGTTCACATTTGTTTGTCATTAGTTGAATAATCTAGAAGAAGTATGTGTAGCTAAAGGAAGTGGTAGTTACGTAATGCTAATAATTTTATCTCAGTATCCCAAGGTGCTCTGTAAGTGGCAAATGTTCATAGTTTGAGGACTATTTTAAATTAAGAATAGAGGCTTAATTGTAGTCAATCTGATTTAGCATTGATGCCTCCTCCTGGTTTGAAGAAACCTGAGAGCCAGACACAGTTAAGGGATAAGAGGTTTTTATCTTGGTGAAGTAAAAGGTACCACATTACACCTTGGCAGAGTGGTGCACCAATAAGAATCCTTATAAAATACCGAGGTAAAAACCCCTTATCCATTAATTGTGTCTGGCTCTCAGTTTTTAAGACCATAAGAAAACATCAGCATAGATTTTCATAATTCATACTGCATTTTAATTGTACTTTTTAATGTTAGTCCATCATTTTTTAGTCCACTTAAATTACTTCAAAAATTGCCTATCCTGTTGTACCTGCTTTACTGTTTGTGTATCTGTACCCACTACACAAAGCCAGACCAAAAGTCCGTAGTGCTCATGGGTCTGCAAAATTTGCAGCATCAGCTGGTTTCTTGGGGTCTGATTTTTCCCTGCAGCTTTCCGAGCCCAGCAAGGAGAGGTGATGAGGATGGCTTGTCGTCTGGACCCTCTAACTGGCTTCCAAATGGCTGGTGAATGGCTGAAGTACCAACTCACAGCTCCTGTTGATCCTGGACCCATGAACTGTAGGTTGCCTGAAAAAAGTTAGGGATATGGGATTTGTTTTTTAATTAAAGCCAAGAAGAAATTTCTTGGCCTTTTTTTTTGTTGATGTTGTTGCAGTTTTTTAAGTGGTAGCCAAGACTCCATGCAAGATTTTCAGGCTTTTGAGGTTTTTGCAAGTTAAAAGCAAAACCATGTCAAACCCATCCCTTTCGTAATTTTTCCCTTTGGAGCCTACATGTGGAATAAGTAATGTAAAGCCCCTGGCTCCTCCTTTCCTCCCTCGAAATCTGTCTGCAGAACAGGTACAGATGTCCCTCTGATACAATTTTACAATTGTTTGGGCCATTTTATCTTTGTAACATTGATTACTTTCGTTAGGGAAGTTATGCCTATCTGGAAAACCCATTGTTACTCACTTTTGCTTCCCCTGCTGTGAAGGAAGGCTGCTTGGTGCTCTGCAAAGTCACACCGAGAGCAGTCTTGCCTGCAGTGCTGAGTCTGGGCATGTGGTCTCCCTTCTTTTCCCTTCTGTGATTTGTTCATATTGCTCTGCATAGTACCTTAAAGACTTATGTCTCAGGAGCCTTCAATTGAGTGAAGCAAATCACACGGGATTACCTTAATTGCTCCCAGTGCATCCCTGCCTGCAGAGTGTGCTTAAAATACTTGTGAGTGCTAAGGTCCTGCAGCACAGGAACTTACCAGGCTGCTGCTGAGGAGCATGGTGAAAGCTCCAGTGTTCTCTTCCTTTCAGCTAAGACAGGCGAAGGTCTCTGCTCCATCTTCTCTCCATCCTTTGTGCAGTGGGATGCCATGACCTTCTTCTCAGAGAGCGTCATCAGCCAGATGTTTCGAACCATGGATAAAGATGTATGTGTATCCCATGCTCCTGCCTTCTCTCCTGGCTTCTTCGGGGTCAACACCAGTGGGTTTTTGCAGTCATGTTACTTGAGCAGTTTGTTGTAACTGGTTATCTCATGCAAAACCCAGATTGTTTGGTGAGCCATTCTCATGAGAAATAATGACCCTTCTTTTGATGACACCAAACTCATACTGGCAGGTCTTAATTTTGGACACTATGGGATGAGAAGTCACAGGAGAGTGCTCAGGTGACATGCTTTTGCATAGTGCCTTGCTAGAGTAGAAGAGATTGCTTAAGGAAAAATGTATTGAGTTATTTAATTATCCTCTTAATAGATTCCCTTTATTTTTTTTTATACTTCTAGCTAAATGAGAGGAACTTATGCCCACAGAGTAGATCAGAAGCATTTATCTTTTGTTCAACAACAGGCAAATCAGAAGGATCAGTTTGATGTGGACTGATTTGATTTTTTTATTAGATTAAGCTGCTCATGCACTCATCAGTCTAATCACAGTAGAATAATTATGTGGGTCAATACAGTTGGTTAAGCATGGAATCTGTTGGACACTGTCAAGAGGAGAACTGGGAGACAGACTGAGAGAGGAAATTTGCCTTTCCCAGAGGGGGTGCAAGCAATAATATGGGGACTAGAGACTGATGTCTCAAGACTGCCCTATCAGCAGTGGCGATGCTGTCCTTTTTGCCTCAGCCTTTTTCCGTGTTTTTGTACTAAGTATACTACAGCTTGGAGTACTGAGTGTTGCTTCCCTTTTTCTTTCCTTTTTTTTTTTTTTTTTTTCTACCTTTGTAGGAAATCCCAGTGAATGATGGCATAGATCTGCTGCAGCTTGTCCTTAATTTTGAAACAAAAGATCCTCTCATCCTGTCCTGTGTGCTCACCAACGTCTCTGCTCTCTTTCCATTTGTCACTTACCGACCAGAATACCTCCCGCAAGTACTTTCCAAGGTAGGTACGTGCAGAGCCTGCTAAAATCACATCAGCTTTTTGTGGTGCAAGGCTCTTGCACTAAACTACAGGAGTCAATCCTCTTGGTGTTGCTGTCAGGGAAGGACTATCCTTCATGTTAAAGATGGGAGAAACCGAGACTGAGGCTTGTCACAAGAAGAGTAATGTTAATTAACCCAAATTTTGTAGTTCGTAGCCTTAAATCTTAGTATTATGAGTGCATGCTCTGGCCATTTTTATTTCAAGGCCTCACTGTATTGATGATTCAACTTTCAGCTTACTCAGGGGTTCTTCACTGACTTCAGTGAAATTGCACTAAAATCTTTATTACATGTCCCTTGAGCTCAAACAGATGTGAGTACTAAATATTAACAAGTTATATGAGTTTTTGATTTTTCTTTTCTTTTCTCACAGCTGTTTGCTTCAGTTACCTTTGAAGTTGTAGAAGAAAGTAAGGTACGTCTGAATTATCTACTAATGAGCTATAACAGTTGGATCAAATCATATTCTAGTGGAGAGACCATCCTTAGTCTGAAGACTGCTGAAGTAGGCTTCTCAAGCACAGTTCTGCTCCTGAAAATCTGGGCAGTCTAGATACTGCTGATCTCTACTAAGCTTTGGCTCACAAGCTTAGAACGCTATAGGTGTGGTCTAAGACCAATACACTTAGTTTCCCCAGTCAGTGCAGGCCTTCCTGAGAGTGAAATACCTTCATTAGCTCTGTGTATTCTTTCAGTACTTGGTATACATGGCACTGAAGGATGCCTGTAAACCCACCAGTTACCTAAGGAATGCTTGGAGTCTTAAAACAGTCAGTAAGAGCCATGGCATCCTCACTCCTAAAGTACAGCTTGTTTGAACATGGACTTCTTGAGCTGGCTACTGCTGCAGAGGAAATTTGATTGCTGCGTGATTGTTTGGAGGGAGCAGGGGAGGCATGGAAATGTTTTTTTGATCTGTGCTCAACAGTGCAGAAAAATACACATAATGAATCTGTCTCTTGAAGATACCCTGCATTTGGCTGAACTTTTGTTTTGTTGCATTGAAGTTTGTTGTGTCTGTCCAGGCTCCTAGAACTCGAGCAGTGAAGAATGTGAGAAGGCATGCATGCTCCTCAATCATAAAGATGTGCCGGGATTACCCTCAGCTTGTCCTGGTATGTAAATGCAGTTGTCATGAAGAATCTTGCCTCAGTTTCAGTTGAATTTTGTGGGATTTTCAAGTTCCTTGACTGCAGTCTCTGCTTTCCTTGCAAGAAGCATTCCTGCTACACAAATGGCAAAGTGGTTCATTCCCTGTACCTCTTTCCTTCCCCACTGAAAAATTTTCTGCCTGAGGAGCTGAATTGTAGATTGGTGGGTTAAATGTAAAAGGTATGAGGAGGAGGAGGATACAAGCAGCACTGCATTGGTTTCATGGGAATGTTTGCTGAATGTCCATGTTATCACCTGTGCTGGTCTCTGTTGATTCCTTAGCTGAAGACACTAGCATAGCTAATCACTAGATTTTCTTCTGTTACTTAACAGAATATAGGAGGAAAAGGAGAGTATTTGATTTTTGGATGAGCTTGAGGAGATTAGAAAACAAATACATTTAAATTCTATGAGCTATGTTTTGTTTGTTTTGCTGAAGTAAACAGTCTCTGCATGCAACATTCTTTAGATGTGTTTCTGTGGAGTGGGACCTAGGATTATGGGAGGACCATAGGATATTGCTAGTTTAAACAAAGACATTTTTAAAGGATGTTAATTAAGGTAATTTGGAGGTTCCAGTCTGCATTCTGCAATTGATGCTAAGAACTAATGGGTTGGTTTTTGTTCTACTTCATTGGTCATTGAGCTATAGCAGTCTCTTTCCCATGGCCAGACATCCTCACTAGGAGAGCCAAGGACCCAGAGTTGCACCAAAAGATGTTCAGATGACTTTACTGAAGGGGATGATTGCTAATGCTTGTACAAAATTATGGGTAGACGTGGTGACAACTGGAGAGAAGGAAAGGAAGAAATGCAAGAATTCCTGTGGCACTCATTGTAACCATATGAATTGTTACCACAAGCAAAGATACAGAAGAATCCTCAGTGTGGCCAAAGAAGCAAGGTGCTTTCTGTGAGCAAATAAAAGCACCAGAACCGATTTGAGGTGTGATACTGCTTTAAGGGATATAACTGCCTAGGGAGAGATTTCCTGTTCCTATTTCAGTCATTCTGGAGAGTTAAAGTAAAATGGATGCAAGATAATAATACAGGGGTGGGGAAGAATAGAAATTTTCTTAGACTGAACATGAAGAGAAGCTTGAGTGTGAGGAGGAGATGCCTATGCTGAGAAAAAGTAACAGACATGCTCCTCCAGCTGTACAGTACACCCCTTCTCTACCTCCCCCAGTGGCCCTCCTCTGTACCAAATGCATGATGCTTTTCCACTTGGATTTGTTTTGTAGCCAAACTTTGAGATGTTGTACAACCACGTGAAACAGCTGCTGTCAAATGAGCTACTTCTGACGCAGATGGAGAAGTGTGCTCTTATGGAGGCCCTTGTCCTCATCAGCAACCAGTTTAAGGACTATGAGCGACAGAAAGCTTTCCTGGAGGAGCTCATGGCTCCTGTGGCCGGCTTATGGCTCTCCCCAGAGATGCAGAGGTATGGGTTATTTTTCATTCTGTTGGTCATTTCTTCTCCAGCTTTGAGCTGGAGGTGTTGAGGAAGTAATGCCATGCCCAGTAAGGAAACACAGAAGCCACAGGAAGGTGGTGTGGGCTGCCTGTGCCTCTTGACCTCCTGTGCTGGGAGCAGCTATTGTGATAATAGTTCTACAGTTCAGAAACTGCCAACAGACTAAATGCTGTTTGCTGAAAGTTTCTGGGTAAGAGTTGCTTAAGGTAATAAAGGAACATTCCCCAGCATGCTCAAAGCATTTGCAGAAAATAAGAAATAAAAGACATCCTTGCTCATCCCCAGGAGAAGGTAGGAAGCTGAGTTCTTACTAAAGCTGAGATGTCATGTGGCTCTGGGTGGCTGGGCATGCACAAGCGTTTTCCCAGCAGGGCCATCTTCCTAAGAGATTTGAATCTTTTAGATCTCAACAGCCCAAGAGAACTGATAATGTTTGAAGAGTGTACACATCTCTGATGCTTTTAATCCTGTTCCCACATACAGGATGGAGTACTACCTAGCCTCTATAGCCTTCTCTGTATTTGTTAGATGTTTATTGCCAGTGCAAAGCTCTGCTTAAATTCCCTGGTAAAAACAATAATCCCATTGCTGTCTTTTGCTGCTGCCAGAGTCCTCTCAGATCCTGAAGCCTTTATATCCTACGTGGGTGCAGACAATAAAATTGCTGATCCAGTCTTGGAAGATCCTAGTGGCCTGAACCGGTCTAGAGTGAGTATCATTGCCAGGAGAGGTGTAATCACTAGTGAAAGGAGACCTGCCTCCTTCCATCCCCCATTTCTTTTGTGATTACACACGAGGTCTCCTGATTATGTATTTCTTTGGAGTGTGGATCAATCAGTGTTTTTCAGATTGCAGAATAACAGGCTGGTCTTGGCTCTTTAATCTACAGTAAAGAGCATGCAGGCCATGCAAAACCATATTGCTTATCAGAGTGAAGCACACTGTTTCCTACTCTTTGTTTAATGGAGTTTGGTTTTGGAGAAGCAATTGATTTACATGATTTTTGGAAAGGTGGCACAGTGAACTGTGCTTTTTAAACCAGGCAGTATGGAAAACCTTGTGCTCAGACTGGAGCACAGAACATAATTAAAATTCACCTGCAGAGATATGTGTTGAATTGTTAGTGTAAGGTCTCTGCTTGGACTGCAAATGGAGTTGCTGTCCTTAGATCTGTAGAAGATGCTGAAATGCAGTCCATAGAGATGTGCATGTGATTTGGGGCTAATGTGTCATCTTGGATCCTGCATCTATCCCAGCACATGAAGGACATGAGGAACTGATGGTCTGGACCCTTTTAGCAGCCTGTCTGGCTGCTTGCGTGCTCTTGAGAGGGTATGCATTGTCTGATAACGAATTCCTAGGCCATCCTGCCATGGCCAGGGCTCTCTGAGGTTGATGGAATATAGCATGATCATTTGCTGCATTTTCCTGGCAGCAAACTCACCAGAGTTTGTTCCTGTCACCAGGTTAGGTTCACTGCCTGACATTCCCTTTGATATGGGATGATGACATGTTTCTCTGAGAACCTGTTGATTCAGACTGTGATCTGACTACAGAATGCTTCTCTACATCTCTTGCTGCAGATAAGCTTTTGTGTGTACACCATTCTGGGAGTTGTGAAACGAGCTCGTTGGCCTGCTGCTACTGAAGAGGCAAAAGCTGGAGGATTCTTTTTGGGGTACCTGCCCAGTGGAACTCCAATGTACCGTAATCCCTGCACTGAGCAGGTCCTGAAGCTTTTTGACAATTTACTTGCTCTCATAAGGTGGGTCAAGTTGACTTGAAATCATTTACGTTGGCTTATAAATCTCTGAAAGCCAGACTGTGATAGACATGTGGAATGCTCAGAGCATGTTTGCCCAGTGAAGCCAGTGGGAATACGAGTTGGTGCCAGTGCCCAAGTACTGTTCCTGACTGTTCACAGTGGGGACTGGCACTGGGGAAACTGGAGCCTTCTGAATGTTCATTGGTCTGGCCTGCAAGAGGCCATCAAAGCTAATGGGAGCTTGTGCTGGGGTTGCCTTCGCCCCCTCCACTGCTGTAGTTCTGCCACCCAGTTAATGATTTCTCAGCTAACATCTGTGTTCTGCCCTCAGCCCCTACAAGGGGCTCTCCCGTCACCACCAGGGCAGTCCCAGCTCTCATCACATCCTGTTTGCATTGTTCTCTCTTCAGTGTTAAATTAAGCTGGCTTTGCTGAACATGAGCAGCAGCCTCCTCTTCAAGAGCAGTGTCTGCTTTTGAAATTAGTGGATGCATACTCTCAGGCTGTTGCAGTGACTCTGAGTGTCACCAGTGTTGTGTAGATCTGGGGCAGCCAGGGGAGGGAGCAAGAGAAGGCAGAAAAGGGAAATCCTGAATAACACAGTCCCCAGAATTATAAAGAAGTCTCTCTCAGGGTAACTCCAGACACTGGGATTTTGCCAGACTTATGGGACAGTTTTATGAGATAACATGTTACATGCTTGAAAACTTTATGCTCTGTTCTTGGCAGGGGCCTTTTAAGAAAGAACATTTTCAGATCCACTTTGATTTTTCAGCTCCTGGGTTTGTAAGGGAAGGGGCCCTGTTACCTAAGTTCTCTCTAGTTGAGTATGTTTAGCAGTCACTCAGCTCAGGAATGTGCTGCTTGCAGAGAGAAGCAACATGCTGGACTGTTGGGAAAAGCACACGCTGTCTTGGCCCACACTAGCAGTGTTTCTCATCACTGAACTCTCTGTAGCACAGTGTGTGGTACTTCGGCCAGTGACCAGCTAGACATACAGAATTGTGCTTGAAGTGTTTTTGCCTTTTATGCTGGAAGGCTGAAGATCCTATTGATGAGTTTTAGGGAGAGGTTAGGTAGAGTTGCCCTGAGTAGCAGTAGCTTCATGCCATTTCTTTCTGACACATGTCATATTGTGTGAGACCAACTAAACCAGTGCTCAAGGTCTGAACAGGCTGCAATAGACACTTTTTCCTCAACCAGTCACTGTTCCTACCACAATTTGTGCCTTAGTAAAATCACTTGGGATCTCTGTTACAGCATGCTTAGGAAACTGTCATCCAACTTCTATCACCACTTCTGTAAAGAAGCAGAAACTCAGTGTCTGGCTTTTGCCACCTCCAAGAGAACACATGAGCTATGTTCTCTATTTAGTGTATAAAGGAAGAGGCTCCATGGCTGGTTTGGGCTTTTTTTGAGAAAATGCATCTGTGTTGTTCAAGCATCTCACCTGCAGACCAAAATATTTTCTGTGTACATGGTAGTAACATACATGGAGAAACCTGTACTTCACTCAAAGGTATCTGGGCTTTTCTTAAGGCTAGGTGCTCTAACAAGAACCAATGAATAATGTATTAAGAAAGTAGATCTTTATGCTTCATATTTTTCCATTGCTGCTGCTGGATATATAAGCCTCTGTCTGACAACTGCAATCTCATAGTTGTTCAGTGCAAGTGCTGATGATGATGCTTATGTCTTTTTGGCAAAGCTGTTTTGGCTGGAGCTCCTGTTGTGTTCTTTGCTGAGTTCAGGTGCCTTTTCTCCATGTATATCTTCCTCAAGCCCTCTTTAATATGGACCACACAGGAGAATATGGAATCTGTAGCTGCCTGTCAGCAGGCAGGAGGTACTGGGATATGAGGAAGGCTGCCTGGCAGGAAAACTGCTTGTGTTGAGGATGCCTTCAGGGACATAGTTGCATTACTATCTGGGGATGGATGCTTCTCTTAGATCTGTGCCATTGGGCAGCTCTCTGTAGGGATAAGCAACATCCAGTGCTGCCCACGTGCTTATGTGGGACAGAGATACATAAGTCCCTGCAGGTTGTGTTGGTTTCTGTGTGAGCAGATGTGCAAGTAGCAGTAGCATGGGTCTGGCTGAGCAGGTGGGTCCGCTGCTCTCTGGATGGTGTGTGGCATTCTGCTGCTGTGTTAGCAGACAGAAGCAGTGAAGCTGTTAAGCCATTAGCCTTTGCCAGGGTGGTAAGTAGCTTGAAGGTAGGTTATGGGTGAGATCAGAGAACTGAGAAGAATGAGATAGTCCAGGCAGTGGAAAAATAAGGTATCTTTGAATGGCATCTACCTGTGTTTGTGTTGGTAGCTGTATTTAATGAATTATTTTGAAGTTGCTTTATTAATCACTGCTTGCAGTTTCCAGACTAATGATTCTCCTGTCCTCTGTGGCACCTCATTTCATGTAGGTGTTTTCTAGCTTCTGGCTTAAAATGTTCACTCCTGAATGTAAACCCAAATCATGCTTTTCAGCCACCTTGGTGCATTTCTGCAGTCAGTAGCTGCATGACCTGATGGGTGCAGAGTCTTTATTGTGCTGGGATTTGCTCGTGTTTTGTTACAAATTAAGTGCTCAGGCTCAGCAAATGCTTTGCTTAGACAAAGGCTTTTTTGGAGCTCCTGATGACGAGATGCTGATATTGCCAAAGCATTAATGCTGGTGAAAGAATTCTTGGGTAGACATGGATGCTGGAGGCATTTTCATTTTAGACAGCTCCAGCTTTGGAAAAGGATTGTTCGATCATGGACTGTCCTGAAGGACTCATCTTCTGGTTTACAAGCTGTTCTCTCTAGGCATCAGATACTCTTTCTAGCAGAGCTGTGACCATCACTGAAAATTCCCCAAGTCCTGCCATATCCTTTGCTTGTCTTTTCTAAAGCAGAAATGTCTCTTGAAATTAGTTTTACTTTGTTTTCCTGTGTGTGGGGTACCCAGGAGTGCTGATTAGTCTCAGCTGGAACATGCCTAGGGCCTACATCATCATACATGAAGGCTGTTGGATGCCTTTTTCACTTCCATGGGGGGCGGGTGATAGGCCATTTTCTTTCCATTCCCACTGGAAACTTGCTAAGGTATTAAGAGAGCATGCCCTGTAAGTGAACATCTGCCTCCCAACTCTCAGACTTAAAATGCTTCAAGGACTCTGAAACAACTAAGGACCATGACCTTCAGGATATGATGTCTGGCCTGTCCTGCTGGAGTTAGTGCAGTGGGATTTCAGGGTTCACCTTTGCAATTCCACAGTCCCTGCATTTGCCCCACTGGCCTTCCTCCCAGCATGAAGCAAAGCCAACACTGGCGTGCAGTGGGCAGGAGACATACAAGAGATTATTTTAGTGGCTAGGTTTCAGCCTCAAGCAGAAATGTACAGCTTTTTGAGTCAGTGGGGGCAACATTAACCAGTGTGGAAGCTGGGCTGTTCCCTGGCCCTTCTTGGCAAAGTAGAATCAGCTTGTACCCCTTTGAGGCCTGTTGCATGGTGTTAGATTCAGCCCAGAATGAGAGTATGAGTCTTTAAGAAGTCATTTGTGTAGCTCTTTCTTAAGAAGTTCACATACTTGCCTTCCTCACGTGCAGTGAGCAGGGTAGTATTTAACACTTGCAGAGAGAAACGGGATAGTTGTGGTTTTGGAGCTTTCTGCAAATGCAGGCAGTCATCACTGCATCGGGGTTGCCGGAATTATGAACGTAGACCTTAAAAGAAAAATACCCAAAGAACCAATAATTAATACGTGAAAGCTGAGACTCTGGAGAACATCCTGAGGTTGGTCCACCCTCCCTTCCCCCAGCCATTCCCATGTACCCCCTTCTTTGGGAAACGCTGCTTGAGGAGGAGATACTGAGTTGCCCTTGATCACCTCTAGAAGCAGGTACAATGGCATTGCAGTTTTGGAGGAGGCTGCAGGATTTGTGCTGTGTGCAGCTGGCGACACCCAGAGTGGAGGTCTGAGGTCTCAAAGGAGAGAGGTAGGTGAGAGAGACACCCCGGCCGAGTCCAGCTCTGAGTGTCAGTACCCTGGCTAAGAGAGGGGACGAGACCCATTTTGGCCTGGATGGCAAGAACCAGCCACCCATGGCTGAATTGGTATCCCTTGCGGACAGCTGACAGCACCCACTTCCTGTGATGCAGAATTGTTCCCAGCTGGATGTGTTGTCCAGGGTGCATGTGTGCCTGCCATGAGTAACATCTCATCAGACTGATGTTCTCACTAGAGTCCCTCCAATGCCACCTGCCATTCTGGGAACTGTGACCCATCCCTGAGGGGCAGTGTGTGTATTTTAGAGCTGAAACAGCCCCTCCCTCTGCAGGGGCCTTAGGTACAGAAGATCTTTTGAGACAACAGAATCTATGTCTTCTCAGTTTTAAGAATACATTCTCTGATCCCTTTGGCCAAGCTAATATGTTGTTCCCAGCATCATCTGAAGAATTGCTGGGAGTTTTTACTGCCAATGCTTGCAGGGGGTGGGATGAACTGAAATAAGTGGAAGGGGCAGCCAGGAGATGCAGGACAGGAGGTGGAGTCACTCCATGTCTCTGTTGAGTCAGCTTCCCCAATATTTTTGCAGGTGAGGAAGGGGGATCCCATGCACATGTGCGTGGTCTCACCTTCCTCATCATCTGCCTCAGAAGAGCAGGTCACAAGCTGAAGGAGAGGATTCCACTGTCAAGGGCAAAAAGGGGTTGACTTACATGAGTATAAACCAAATGCTCTTCTGTTTCAGAACTCACAACAACCTCTACATGCCAGAGATGGTGGCTAGGCTGGGGGATACATTTGCAAAGGCCTTGGACATGCTGGAGGTGGAGAAGAATGCCATTCTAGGTAAGAGGCTTCTTTTCAGGAGGGCATATGTGGGCAGATTCTTAGGGATATGAGTCAATGATCTCTCCATAACAGCGGAAGTGAAATAGGGCTGGAGGACCAGGTTCTTCATAGTATTTGCAGCTCAGCTGTGATTTGAACTGGCTGAAACAAAGACATTAAATTTTAAGTTATAGGTCTCAGACACATTGGTTCCTTCTGCATGCATTGAAGGGTATGCTACAAAACTGCTTGTCCCAACTGTGGGAAGGTGGTGGTTTCTGCAGCATGGCATTTCAGGCTGCAGAGGCTGAATGGAGGATGCTGAAATTGTCTGCCTTTGAGCACAATTAGTGCTCAGAAGGAGCCCTGAGTGCTGGTGCAGAGACCTGTCCTGGAGGGCAAGGGCCAAGTTGTGCAGTGTGGCACTGGCGTTTGTTTCTAGACAGTGTGCTAGAAAGAAGCCTTTGGAACCTTCTTAAAACAGGTGTGAGCTTGTGAACACAGGAGCCTTTCCAGCCAAGCAGAAGCAGATGGCTTTGTGGATAAAGTGTGGATCATAACTTTGGAAATGGGGGTTTAATTTCAGGTTCTGACAGACAGTAAAATATTTTGGGGAAGTTGCTTTGTCTTTCTCCATTTCCTATCTATAAAATGAGGACATGCTTCCTTTATCTGACTTTAAAAACTGTCTGTGAGCCCCTGCACATAAAGCAGCAGGGCCTTGATCTCCGCTCTAAACTTTTTAATATCATAGTTCGACAGTAGCCTGTATCCTGGCAGAGAATACAGACCTGAAGGAATGAGCTATTAGAGGAGCTACAGCAACCTCAGTGGAAACACCTTTGCTCTGGGTGCAGCCATCCTGAACCTGACTGTCCTCTGACTTTCTGCCCTAGGGTTGCTGCACCACTTCCTATTTGGCTCTTGCCAAGGGTTTCCCTTGCTGCCATCAAGCTGGCTGGGGCCTGCCCAGTGTGCTCTGAAGGTGCACTGTGTTCTCACCATTAATGTAACTGAAGTTTATTCCTTTCCACAGGTCTCCCTCAGCCTTTGTTGGAGCTTTATGACTCTCCTGTTTACAAAACAGTCTTAGAAAGGATGCAGGGCTTCTTCTGTACCCTCTATGACAACTGGTAAGAGCACCACATCTCTCACCACGATTCATCACTGCACAGGCAGAGCAGTAGGTTATTGTGGGGTCCTGACTTCCTTTAGAGTCAGACTTCTGGCATGAGTTGTATCCTGCAGTATGCAAGTACAAGCTGCAGTGGTGGCCTGTACTGAGTGGTTGTAACCTGCCACACAGACGTGGAACGGTCTGGAAAAAGTACCTCAAAATGGGGATCTGCTTTTAGCTCTTCTGTAGTTAGGTAGTCAGATTGGAGCGCTTACCTGATACCCTCATCTGGTTTATCTCTTTTGCCACTTCTAATTATGTGCCAGGGTACATCAGCACTTGAAAATACCTTGTAGTGCTTAAATGCTTAAGTCATTGTTCCTCTGCAGGTATCCCAGAAAAAAAAGAGATAGTGTGCTAAAATTCCTCCACAGTATTTGTTTAGGAATGTGACAACTGTGTAGTCTTAAGATGATAGTACTTGTAGCCTTTGCAGATCAGAGATGTGGTACTTGTTATGTGGCAGACTTGTAACCAATTTGTTTTCTGTTGAAGTTTTCACATCCTGGGAAATGCAGGCCCCTCCATGCAACAGGATTTCTACACTGTTGAGGGTCTCGCCACCCAGCTCCTCAGCTCTGCTTTCAACAACCTCAACAACATTCCTGATTACAGACTGCGTCCCATGCTCCGTATCCTTCCATCACTCTCTAATGCCAGCTTGGGAGGCTCTGAAGACATAAATTTAAACCTTGCATTGTTTTCAGTATGGCCAAGACAAAGAAGGGTGATTGAGGAGGTAAACAGACAGGGTACACCTGGTGCAGATGATGTGTGAGCCTAGGAGGGCATGAGCAGAAAGAGCACTGCATAATAAAGGTCAGAATAAATGCACAGGATTTGTGTGGTTCTGGAGGCACTGTGAGAGGGGTGTAAGTGCCTTCTGAGGGGCAAAGGGGCTTGGATAGTGAGCAGCTTGACATTAGGATGTGTTTCTCTGGGAGATCATGTGGGTTTCCCAGCCCACTTTCCGGGGCTAGACATTGAGTCTCACAGCTAGGAAATGGGTGCTAAGCACCCTTAACTTTCTCAGCTGAACTGTCAGGGGAGAGAGCTGAATAACTGATGTTCTTGCTGTATAGAGATGCCATTTGTTAATTCAGGGCTGTGAGAAAGTGTCTGTCCCTTGGCCTCCCAGTGGAATGGGTTGGCTTGGGCACTGTGCTGCAGTCTCCCTAGCAGCTGGCCTTAGGTCTTGGATTTCTTCCTTAACTGGTCTGTTCAGGTGTGTTTGTGAAGCCCTTGGTACTTTCCTGTCCCTCAGAATACTATGAAACCCTTGTCTGCCCCATGCTGGGACCACTCTTTACCTATCTGCACTTGGTAAGAAAACACCTTGTCCAGCTTGCCTGTTCCTTGACACACCTGACTCCCTGTAGCAACTGGCAGCAACATGTGGGAATGTCTGTCTCTACAGAGCCAGAAGGGACAAGGGCAGAGCCTTGATGCTTAGTGATTTTGGTGATGTTTAGGGGGGGCTTTAAAGTGCATTGAGCCCTGGCTGTTGCACAGCACCACTTGCCGTGAGTTCAAACCTGTGGACATAAACTTCTCAACCTGCAGTCCTGAGACATTTTGTGTTTGTTGATGTTTTGTTTCCCCATGTCCTCTCATTTTCATGACAGCTCATTCACATTCCAACACCCTTGGTACCAGTTCTCCTGCATTCAAAATGGGTCTTTGGCATGAGAGCTGTGTTGAAAGCTCTTGTGCTTCTTCCAGCAGCTGTTGCTTGAGTCTCCTTGCATTGTATCCAGATTTAATCTTTCCTTTTGTCTTGAACAGAGGTTGTCCCAGAAATGGCAGGTGATCAACCAGCGAAGCATGCTCTGGTAAGCTTCCACCCCTTGGTACAAAGAGGTAAATGGGGAATGGGATGGAGATTTGGTCTATTACGTGGCCCTTTGCCCAGATACAGCCCTGCCAGCAAGGGCTGGAAGATACACTGGTGACTCATTCCCTGTGTTTGGGTGGGGGGGTGCTTGATGACATTGGCTCCTGTCAGACTAAAACCTGTTCTCCTCAGTGAGGATGATGCTGCAGATGACAACCCCGAGTCTCAGGAGATGCTTGAGGAACAGCTGGTCAGGCTGCTAACTCGAGAAGTCATGGATCTCGCCAGTAAGTGAAATCAAGCTAGATCTCCTGAGATATTTGGGAAGTTTTCCCTGGAAAGGCCAACAGGAATTCCAGTGTGCAGTAAAATTTAATTATAACCATCAGTAGTATATAACATAACCATGAGAAGGCAGATGTGAGACAGCCCAGCCAAAATCTTAGCTAAAACCTAGTAAGAGATAATTTAAAACTTTCAAAAGAGAGATTCGTCCTTTTGTTAGCTTTCAGGGCTCCATGGTTTTGGCACTGTTCCTGTAAGAATCCAATCCTACAGGGAATTGGTTTCTCCCATTCTGCGCTTTGGAACCCAGTATGGGACATGGACTTATGGACAAGCCAAGTGTAGAGCGGTTTTGTTGTTGGTAATTGCCATGTCTCTAACCAGACATAAGGGAAGAGTCCCTCCCCCAGAGCAGACTCCCTTGTGTTCCCCTTCTCCAGCATAATTTTTGTGTCAGCGAGGCTTTGTGCAGGAAGGCTGGGGAAATTGATTCCACAGAGATCACAGCTTTGTCTTCTGTCTCCTTTCTCAACTGGCCGTTTGCTTTAAATCAGTGTTCTTCTTGGATTATGGGCTTCTGATGGTTTTGCACATTCCTGCTTCTCTGTAGTCAGAAGCAACCATTGTGTAGCAGGTTCCACTGTGGGAAGGTGCTGTGGGTGAGGTGTGACAGCCTTCCAGGTAGTGCAGTATTGAGCTTTTTATACTGGGCTTTCTGATTCTTCAGATTCCCTGTAAGAGCTGGGGGAGCTTGAAGCACCTGTGAACCCACCAGAGTCTGTAGGATAATCTCTGCATGTTCTGCAGTAGCATCTTCCCTTTCCTCTCCTCTGACCTGCAACTGTTTTTGCAGCTGTTTGCTGTGTTTCTAAGAAAGGTGTTGAACAGAACACTACTGCTGCTGTAGATGGAGATGGTAAGTAAATGCCTGCCTTTGCCTTTCCAGCCCTTGGTGTACACAAATGCTGTTCCTTTCCTGTTTCTTGAGGGGGAGGCTGGGCTGATGCTGGAGGTTCTGTGTCAGGGGTATAGGTTTGGTAAGAAGCCTTCACCTCTGTCCTGCCCAGCGTGTCTGGGGGCCACAGAAAAACCCAGTCTAGCCTGGAAACTAATGTGCTGTAAGGGTTCATGGGTGGCATGTTGGAGCAGCTGGTTCTTAAGGTTCTGAGAAGTGGGCTGAGGAGCAGAGGGGATGTGAACAATTTCCCAAGAGCTGAAGGTAGCCAGTTGCATGCCCCTCCTGCCCCACAAAGGATCGTTGCTTTTTGCTTGAAAGGAGATGTTCTGGGTAAGCTGTGCCAGGACACTGATGCTGTGTGCTGTCTCCTGGCTCCCAGCTTAGTTCTTGTAGCCCCCCTGTGTCCCCTCAGTCTTTGGGAGGCCACATTCACAGTGCAGCCTTTGCTCTGCAGATGATGAGGCGATGGCCACGGAGGTGACTCCCCCTGCCAACGCAGAGCTCACCGAGCTTGGCAAGTGTCTGATGAAGCAAGAGGTAAGAACATGTGCTCTGACTGCCACCATCCTTTCTCTGTACTCTTTATCACACTTGTCTGCTCTGCAGCCAAACAGTGCTGCAGAGATCTAGGCTGCTGGAGCATTCCCTTTGTGGGAATAACCTCTTGGGAATATGCATGGCTTTTAAGGGCCTTGCTGAAGCCACAAAGCAAATGGGGGTTGGGATCCAGTTGTAACACATGGCTACGGAGCTTCAGCCCTTCTGGGGAAGAGGTCCTGGGCATTCAGCTCCCTGGCTCCCTGGCTCTGCCTTCATCCTGGGCCCCAGTCTTCATGAGGAGGAACTTCATCCATTTTTTTTTTTCTGTAAAATCTGCCTGAGGTGGTACAGGAGCCACAGTGCTAATACCACCCATTGTGCAGAGTACCTTTATCCCAGTATTCCTGTACTCTCTGCTGTGGATGCCTCAGAAGCTCTTCTAGAAGCTTTTGCAGTGACTTGAGAGTAGCAGCTGAGGGGAGTCCATAAGCGCTCCAGGGTCTTTCCCAGGGAGATGAAGGGAACAGGTTAACTTAGCACTGATCCCTCATGGTGCACACTGGGTGAAAACCTTCTGCTGGAGCAACAGTAACATGCCGGATTCTCAGAGGCTCTTGCAGATTCTCTGAATTCCTTCTTGGATACCATCAGGTTTGAATGCTGGAAGTAAGAAATAGTGCCTCTGACTGGTTTTCCTGACTCCTTTTCAGGATGTTTGCACTGCAGTGCTGATCACTGCCTACACGTCCCTGTCCTGGAAGGACACCTTGTCCTGCCAAAGAACCACAACACAGCTTTGCTGGCCACTGCTCAAACAGGTACCTGTGGGAGGAAGAAGGGATTAGTTCTGGCTGGGTCTGAATGTTGTGAGAAGCGTGGCTGCCTCACCCCTGGGCACCTTCTCCCTCAGGAAGAGCAAGCTGTTGCAGAAAGGTGGCTGCGTACCAGTTTCTTGCTTCAGTGCTGACAGTGCTTCTTCCCCAGGTGCTTCCAGGAAACCTCCTTCCCGATGCCGTGTCCTGGTTTTTCACAAGTGTGCTGAAGGGCTTACAGGTACATGGGCAACACGATGGCTGCATGGCAGCTCTTGTCCACCTGGCTTTCCAGATCTACGAGGCCTTGGTGAGAAATTCTGTTCTTCATCCCAATGTGAGGTTGAGGAATGTGAGGGGAATGGTGAAAACTAATCCCATGCCCAGTGGGTAGGGGCAGGGGAGAGCATGGCCCCCAAGGAGGGCAAGGCTGTTACTCTGGCAGAGCTGGGTTAATGGTACTTCTCCATGCAGCGCCCTCGCTATGGTGAGCTGAAGGCAGTGATGGAGCAGATCCCAGACATCCAGCTGGACTCTTTGGAGCAGTTTGATTCAAAGCTTCTCAACCCAACACTGCAGAAGGTGGCCGACAAGCGCCGGAAGGATCACTTCAAGCGCCTCATCTCAGGTTGCATTGGGGTAAGTGATACCCTGGAGGAAGATTTCACAGCTGTATGCTGCAGAAGTGATGGGGTGGCTGACCTGCCTCCTCTCACCAGCCACCCCCCCTTCCCAGCCAGGAGGCTGTAGCAGCATCTTTAGTGTTTGTTCTGCCTCTCTTCACCCCAGGGTCCAGCAGACTGAGCAGCCCCTCCAGCAATGGCCTCTCATTGAGAGGCAGCAAGCACCTTGCACAAAGATGCTTGGGGAAACAGGATGCTAAAATGTTTGATGGAAGTTGCTGGGTGGGCATTGGACTTCCATGAGGATGGTGGTGGTGGAGCCTTGGGACATTGAATTAGAAGCTGGGGAGCTGGTATTTTAAAAGTTACCTCAGTGCCCTGGCACTTGGGAAAGGCCAGGCCTGACATTCCTCAAAATGCAAGTATGGGGTCTGGGCTTAGGGATTGCTCAGAACCTGGGTTCTGCATCTGCTGTGCAAGAAGCTGCCCCTGAGCTGAGCGGGGATATGAACAGTGACTGATGCCTGCTTGTCTGTCCTCTGCAGAAGCCCATCGGGGAGCAGTTCCGCAAGGAGGTTCATATCCGGAACCTTCCATCTCTCTTCAAAAAGGTGAAGCCATCACTGGAGACAGATGTGCTAGAAAACGAGGATGGAGAGGGCTTCAATGTACTCTTCGAGCCCTGAGCCTGGGATGCTGCAGCCATCTCCTCCCTTACCTTAAAATTTGTCTCTCCTCATAGTAAGCACATTAGATTCTCCTTGTCACCGCCTCCACAAGCATTCGTCTGAATAAAGCCCCTTACGGGTCCTGTCCCCTTCTCTTCCATACACTGGGATGGGGCCTGCGGTGGCATTTGAACCAGTCAATATTAAGCTCTTCCCCTGACTCTTTCCCCTCCATTGGATGAGCATCTTTAGACCTCTGCTTCTCTGCAAGGTGGGAGCTGAGTCCATAGACCTCTTTAGGGTAAAGCCTGATCATCTTGTAGCCTCGGGTCACTCTTGCTCCACCTCTTCATCCCTTGGGGTTTAGGATTAATGCAAATGGCAGAGTAGTGTGCCATGTGAAAAGGGGCTACCCTAATCTTCCTCTGGGTGCTAGTAGCCAGGCTTTGTAGGGAACACATCGGACACTCCTGTCACGCTTATCAGCACTCGTCCCTAGCGGACTGGAATTCTGCTGAACCCGTTTCCCTCCAGGATGCTGAGCCTTGGGCTGAGGGCTGCGTGCCAGGAAGCCTAGCAGTGCTCTAGGATCTCCTGTGAGATCAGCCTTTCTAAGGTGCAACTGCTCTCTAGAAAGAGGCAGAGACTGTCATATATATACATATATATGTACAGATATGATCATACAGCTTGTTCTACCCAGAGCCAAATGGAAGGCATTTACTTTGTGCCAGCCTTTCTTGGACATCTCTCAGGGGGAGCAGGACATACTGTTTTCTTTTGGTTTTTCTTGGTTTTTTTTTTTTTTTTATTATTTTTTTTATTTTACCATGCCCTGTAGACTAGAACTTGGCCAGCGCAGGGTAAATAAAATCTGGACCAATACCTGAAGCACCTGCAATCCAAAAGGGAGCTCCTCGCCCTGTTGCAGTGGAGGTGACAGTAACCCCTGTTTTTACCCAGTCTGGTACTTCTCAAAGAATTGCATGGTGGGGCAGGAGGGGTGGGCTTTATACTGCAGTTTACAGGGGGGAGCCAGGTCAGAAACTGGGTTTTAGATGTGGTGGGACTCTTACAAAGCCACTCCAGTGTGCAAAGCTGGTTCTTCTTACATGACAAATACTACACAATCTATCCTAGAGTTAGCGCAGGAGCTCAGAGGGTCTGTCCAGAGCTAGCTGGCAGTTTTGCCATCCAGGAGACAGAACAAGTAATAAACTGTGGTAGGTGGAGAAGTGGTGTCTCCACATGGACAGACTGGACAAAAAGGCTGGGGTTGGGAGGCATGGGAGTGCAGATAGGAAGAGCAGGCCTTGGGCATCCACTCACCCTCCTGCCCCTGCTGTTCCACCAGCACCCTCCATTTTCTTCCTAGCCTCAAACTTTTTTAACCTCTGAGCTAACATGGCTCCTGGCTCTAGCAAAGGCTGGGTGTATTTATTGTGTTGTGATATTTTTAACATTCTGTGACTTCATGCTAGACACAAGGGGTTTTTGTAAAATGGATTTTAAACCTTTTTTGTAGGAATGTTTAAATCCAAAGCCGTCTCCGAACTGGTTGTGTTACACCTGAATGTCAGTAAAGCTATTCCAGTTTCATACACATGGTGTCATGTTTCATTTTTGATTCTTTTATCTGTTTCAGTAAGATCTGAGGCCTCTGATCTGGCCAGACTGCCCTCCTGGAGATTTCACAGTATCCCTTATTCCAGCTACCAAAAAGGGAGCACCTTTGCTGGTGGTGTATACACTGTCAGGGGATGAGCCATTCCAGACTATATAGTTTAATTAGGTGAGGGGGAAATTGCATTTTTGAGGTATTCATTTGTGACTCACTGCTAGTTTATTTTAATTCTAGGTCTCAGCTTACAGCTTGAGGAATGTGTATTGTCAAAGCAAAACCCTAAGGCTATTCAAGGGTCCATCCCATAAGCATGTGAAGCAGTAGCACAGAGGTGGATGGATGGATAGATAGTTATGGATAGGTAGACAGTGATAATGGGTGACATGCACATGCAGTATATACCTGGGTCTGCAGCATGGCATGGGATAGATTCGGGTTGGAGCCAGGATGTCAAGTGTACCTTCTCCTTACAGCATATTCACCCTAACAGGATGTTTACACGCTAAGTAATTCTACCCCAAGGAAACTTTCATTCGACTTACTTAGCAGAATGTAGAACTAGACTGAAGTCTAGCACTATAGCATGGATTGACTTCAGCAACTGAGACACACCAGTACTCCCATTTTCAACTCTTAACCACGTTGCTCAATGCCTCATCTAACCTGGCCTTGAACACTTCCAGGGATGGGGCATTCGCAGCTCTGGGAAACCTGTGACAACTTAGCTCCACCTTCATTGTAAAAAATACCTGATGTTCAATATAAGTCTACCTTCTTCCAGTTCAAAACTGTTGACCTTTAGCCTGTCACTACAGACCCTGGTAAAGTCTTTCTCCATGCCCCCTTTATATACTGAAAGGCCAGAATGGGGCCTCCCTGGAGCTTTCTTGTTCTCCAGGCTGAACAATCCCAGCTCTCTCTCAATTTTTTCATAGGAGAGGTGTTCCAGTCCTCTAATAGTACAGCCTTTTCTCTACCATATTAACTATCCCAGAGCTGGTCTGAAACACCTGCAAAACAGCCATGCCCTTATGCCAACTCGTTAAACCTCACTGACCTGCTGTGAAGTGCTTTACTACACCGCCCCATCAGTCCTCCTCACTCACGGCATACCATCTAAAATAAATGCTGTTACCCATCCTTAGACCTGCTGCCACTTCTCCATGTATTATGGTTTTGGTTTCGCAATTGTGAATGGCAAAGGACACAGCTTTTTTTTTTAAAAAAAAAGCCTTTATTTTAGTGCATCTACTCACTGAGGCTCATTACCAACAGAAAAATCCAAAGAGACAGTCCTTGGACTCTTGGCAAACCCCTCTCAAGCCTCCTGCCTATGGAAGAGGAATCCCCCATCGAGGCAGGTGCAGGAAACCCAGAACAGCAGTGCAGGTTTCTGCTTTCCCAGCTACAGCCTGGTCACTCCATAGGCACAGAGTCCAGCTCATTGAGGAAGCGCTGACACTTTCCCATCAGGATCTTGATGGCTTCACTCACCAGCACATCTGGAGGTAAGATACCTGTCGACTCCACTGAAACTGCACAGAGACACAGACACAAGTCAGCAAAAGCCATGAGGCAGCCTCAGCCTCCATGCACCTGGCTCCATGCTTCCGTCCCTCACCTTCCCTTACACCTCACTGCAACAAGCCAGATCTTCACAGCCAGAGAAGCAGCTACCTTTGCCAGCAGAAAGCACCAAGATTCAATCCCAAAGCAAGCAGTTACCCACTGCCTTTTGGATGTATGGATGCTGAGGGTGGGGAGAGGCACAGAGCCAGCCACACATGCTGGCCAGTCACTGCTTGTTCACATGAACCACATCAGGACTCTGGAAAATGGGGCACTTACAGATGTAATGGTTCCGTACTCTTGCCAGGCGCACAAGGTTTTTCAGACCCTCATGTCGGAAAACTTCTCTGCTGAATGTGTCCAGCCGTGCATTGGCTACTCTTGCCACCCTTTTTCCTAAAAGGAAGATGAAACAAGGTGGGCAAATTGCAGCAGGTCAGCCTTACGGTCACAGTACATGCTTAGCTCAAACAGGCACTCCCCCCTCACCAAAGGCAGGGAAGACACCAATATAAAGAATTAGCGTATACCCAACATGAAAATCCAACCTGGAAGAAAAACCCAGACACGAAGCCTACAGGCACCCCTGGAAGGACACAAGAAGTCTCCACACTCAGCTGTGGAAAGAGCAAGCTCGCTATCCAGTGTCACAACTGAACAGCGCTGGAAGCTGCAGTCAGCAGCTGCAGGGCTCTGTGGACAGGTATGCAATGCATTTCAGGGACATCCCCGTTCATCACCCAACACGTCTGCACGTGGTAACCATGCATCCATAAAACCAGGCTCAGAAGAGCATGAACCACTGATCAGCAAGGCAACATCACAATGTGGTTTTGTCTCTGCAAAAGTTTGGCTCCAACCTCCAATCAGTCTCTACTAAAGCTCGCAAGGAACTTAGCACAGGAAAAAAGTACCATTGATATTCTGGATCTCAATGACCCCAGGGGAAAAGCACTTCTGTAATGTCTCAGCTGCCTCATCCTCAATAGGCTGCAGGAGAGTAATGTCAGGAAGCAGTCGATAACTGGCTGTGGCCACAGGAGAAAACTTGGCATGATCCTTACCTGTATGAAGAGTTAGGAGTCAAGGATGAGAGCAGGCCTCAGGGAACAAGGATCCTGGGGCCTAAAGCTCCAGGGGAAAAGCCAATTCTCCACCCTTCCCCATCACACCACCCTTCCCCATCACACCGGAGTACCCTAGTCCAAGCACTCACATTCCTTGTCCCGCTGCTCCAGGAGGCACAACTCACCTATACCCTTGACACAGTGCATAAGCACATCTATTTCCTGTCCGGGTCGCAACAGTGCAATGAGGATGTCATCGTGAACAGGTCGGAAGTCAGCATCTGGAAAAAGGTCCGTCTGATTCCCCAGGGGCACCCACGTCATGTGTTTACTGTACACTGCAAAGAGAAGCCACAAGCATCAGTCAGCTGCTGCCTCAAAGCACGTCACTCACCTGTACAGGACTGGAGATAGCAAAAAGTAAGTTTAACAGAATGGAATCAACTTTCTCTGTGAGCACATAAGGCTGAGTAAACAGTCTAAGTCCTGTCTTCCAAGACCAAAAAGAAAAGCACCTATTTTTAGGAGAAATCTCACCTTTATGATTGAAATATAGTTCATCAGGATCAGATGATTCCTTGGCAGCCTGAGGGTTTCGTTTGCATTTGATTTTCAGCTGAAACTGCAGAGTATCAATTTCAGTGCCTTCCTGATCTCCTGGGAAGAAGCACATGAAATAACACTTCTAGTCAGTTTACACGACCCTGATTTACTAGTTTGAGAGGAACCTTCAATATTTCTATTCTATCCAAGACTCTCACCTTGGTTTCTGTACTCAAAGAGCCGAGGGTCAGCTCGGATAGGGATGAGGCCCAACCGATGAGCCAGAATTTCATCCTGCACAATGGATGTGTTGTTGTACACAAAGACCTTCTCTACAGCCATCGTTGGCACCTCAGGGAGACAAGAGATCAAGTCAGCCTAAGACAATAGTTGAACTACAAGCCAAGACATTATCCAGCTCAAGTGTCCCTCCTCTCGCACAAGTACCTGCCATGCAGACTATTTTGAGTGGTATTTCTGCCAAATCAGGCTATGCAATATACCCTTACACCTCGTCTACTCCCATCCCCGTTTTTTTTAACAATCAATCAAAAGAGGTGAAGGGAAGTAGAAAGGGCTTTGAAGCATCCTCAACCTTTTAGTACTTGGCAGCGTTACGTGGCTTCTTTTTGGTTTGTACCACAGCTGTGTCGAAAAGGCTGACCGGCAGACACTACCAGCAGCACCCCTGAGACCAGTAGGCGGTATCGCCCGTGCTGCTAAAGCCCCGATTCTCTTCGGGCTCCTGGCACACGTGCGGAACGAACGTGTGCTTCTCTTCCAAAACCCGCAGTCGTCCGCAAGGGCTGACACAAGGCTGGACATTCCCCGCCCCCGTCAAGGAAGTCTTATGCCGGCAGCCCAGGTGAGCACGCCGGGAGCGGCGGTACCTCGGCGAGCAGGATGCGGCGGAAGGCGTTGGCGATGGCGGCGTCGATGCCCACCATGTCGAACTCCAGGGTGTCCCCTTCCTCACGGATCACGTCCACGCGGAACGCCTGCGGGAGCCGCGCACCGAGGGTCACGTCGGCCGCGGGGCCCGACCCCGCACACCCACAGACAGCCCCGGCCGCCGGCGCCGCTCACCCACCTCCTCGAAGCGCCGCTGGTCCCAGGCGTCCTCGTAGCCGGGGTAGTTCCCGGGGAAGTCGGTGGTGTGGACCTGCGAGGAGAGGGCACAGGCGGGGCCGTGAGGGGGTGCGGGCGGGGGCCGCTCCCCGCCCCGCCGGGCTCGCTCACGTTGCGGACGCCGAACTCGCCCAGCACCACGCGGTCCCGCATCTCGTCCGCGCTCCTCCGCGCCGCCATGGGGGCGATGGGCGGCGCTCCCGGGCCCTGGGAGCCGCTGCCGGCCGCCGTCACATCCGGCTCCAGCCCATCCGGGCCAGCGCGGCGGGGCCGGGACGGGCACCATGGCCGCGCCGGGGGCGGCGGGCGGCGGCAGGAGCGGTGCCCCCGCCGCCGAATGGGGCGGCTTCGAGGACAACGTGCAGGTGGGGCCGGGCCGGGGGCGGCGGCGGGGCCGGGGCCGGGCCCAGCGGGTGCTGACACCGTGTCTGCCCCGGCGCAGGGTGGCGGCTCCGCCGTCATCGACATGGAGAACATGGACGACACGTCGGGCTCCAGCTTCGAGGACATGGGGGAGATGCACCAGCGCATGAAGGAGGAGGAGGAGGAGGAAGCGGAGGGCGAGGCGGGCGCCGGCGAGGAGGAGGACGGGGAGTTCCTGGGCATGAAGGGGCTGCGGGGACAGCTGGGCCGGCAGGTCGCTGACCAGGTGAGCGCTGTGTTCCGGCCGCCCCCGGCCCCGGGGTCCCTGCCTGCCCGCACGGCCGCTGCCCGCTCCCTTCTCTCCGCAGATGTGGCAGGTGGGGAAGAGACAAGCCTCCAGGGCCTTCAGCCTATACGCCAACATCGACATCCTCCGGCCCTACTTCGATGTAGAGCCCGTCCAAGTGCGAGCCAGGTGGGCAGCTCCCGGCGCGGGGAGGCAGCGGCTCCGTGCCTGCAGGACACATGCCTGCAGGCTGTCAGCTCCGAGCGAGCAAGCTGGGGTGGGCTGGCAGCCCTGCAGGAAAACTCAGGGATGGGCAAACGCATTGTGCGTTGTCCCGCTCGTCTTAGTGAGGTTCCGTGGTTGGGCTGGTGGCCCTGTCACCTGGCATTGCTGCTCAGGGCAGGAGAAAGGGCTCTTTTCGTATTTGGCTGCCTTGTTTGGCTTCTGTTGGCTTTGTAACACAGTTGCAGTGCAACAAGGCAAAATTTTGTGAGCATTTACGAAGAAAATTACCTTTCCTTCCTGCTGTTCTGTCGATGATCTCTCATCCCTGAGTGGAACCCTAAACATTTTCATTGAATCTGCCCCTACTCAGCAAAGTTAACTCACTGAAAATAAGGTTTTCCTTCTTTTCCTTTCCTTCTTGACTCACCCTTTAGAAAGAATCCTCTGTCCCTTAAGGCCTGTCAACACAATAGCAAACACTGGTGATGCATATATGGGATCTTTTACTGACGAAGCATTTTGTTAACTGTCCTGTTGTTCTTCTTGCTCCTGTTGTCATTCCCTGCTTTCCTGTGATGCAGACTGCTGGAGTCCATGATTCCTGTGAAGATGATTAATTTCCCACAGGTGAGTTCCCTTTTGCTGAATCAGACTCCATGTCCAAGTGACTGTCCCACAGACATCTTGTGAAACTGTAATAATCCATGTTATTAAGGACTGAGTTTGCCAGGTGTTCTCCCTGAAAATGTTGGTGGCTCCTTTCCATGGTTGTTCCAAACCTCAGTGTGCTGTCCCCTAACCTCAGGTGATAACCTGGGTGATAAACTCCATCCAGTGCACTTCTCACATCGCCTGTGATATTCAGGGGCTGATGTATGATATTCAGGGGCTCTAACCAATCTTTACCTCACCTGTCTCCTTCTGTAGAAGATTGCAGGCGAGCTGTATGGACCCCTCATGCTGGTTTTCACACTGGTGGCCATTCTTTTGCATGGAATGAAGACCTCAGACACCATCATTGTACGTCAAGTTTCATTGATAAGTGGTGGTTTGACTAGGCTCTGAGTTGTTGTAGTGACACTAGAAATGGAGAGGAAATCTTTTCTATAACTGAATAAGCGTCTCTTGCTGAAAAGCAGATTGATTTGAGGATGTTGGTTTGGGGTGGGAGCAAGGATGTCCCAGAAAGTCTTGACACTGCTGCTGGGAGGGCTTGGGGTTTAGGTCCTGTGGCCCCCTGATTGCTGCTGGCCAGCTCTTTGATAATGCCTGCAAAGGATCTGGGACTCTCAGGGGTTTGGGTGCTGGCAGGCCACTCCTTTGAGTTCTCCTCATCCTGACATTGTCTCCACAGAGGGAAGGCACACTGATGGGCACAGCCATTGGCACCTGCTTCGGTTACTGGCTGGGCGTCTCATCTTTCATGTATTTCCTGGCATATCTGTGCAATGCCCAAATCACGATGGTGCAGATGCTGTCACTGTTGGTACGTACTCATGGAGCTTCCCTGTGATGCACATTGGCTGCATGGTGTTCCAGAACAAGCTTTTCCCAAACAGCAGGGAAAGTCTTTGTAAACTGATGGTCCCAGGTAACTGCACTGGGACAGCCTGGAATTCCATGATGTTCTTCTGACCTGACCCATCTCAGGCACAACAATAGTGCAAAGAGGCAGTTCCTTTGTGCAAGTCTTCTGCTTTGCACTTCCTGATTTGAGAACCTGGTGGTAAAAAGCCAGGAAACTCAAATTTCTCTGGGATTGGAGGATCTTTCCTCTGTTTCCCACATTGTCACAGTCTCTGGCATGCCTGTGAATCCTTCAGACAGATTATCTGTGTGTGAGCTGCTGTTAAAGTTGTTCTGCTTGACTGTTTGGCAGTGAATGAGTGATTTGTGAGGCTTTGCCACAGTGAAGTGTTGCAGGAATAGGCTGTTTGTGCTCTTGATCAATGGCCCTTTGTGTGTGACTGGTGCTTGTAACATGGACATTTTTGTTTTGTCAGGGCTATGGTCTTTTTGGACACTGCATCACTCTCTTTGTCACCTATAATATCCACTTCCACTCCCTCTTCTACATCTTCTGGTTGGTTGTTGGTGGACTCTCTACACTACGAATGGTAAGGGACAGGCAGCCTGGGGTCCTTCTCTTACTGGGACAAAAAAAGGAAGTGGTGTTTGCTTTCTGTTCCTTGGCCTGGTGGTTCGTTTCACAGCCAGTCGAGCTGCTGAGTTACAGAACAGCCCGATGCTCCTGCGTAATTTGGCCACTGGTGTGTGGAGGTGCAGCTTGGATTGATATCCTCACCCATTCTAACAGCTGCAAGAGGTTCATTTACTCCCTTACAGCTGCTGTGGAGAGCCATGACTGAGCATCCTGCACTCTTGGCAAGACTGAGCAAAGTTCACCTACACAAAACTAATCAAATTAAATTCATTGGTGAAAACTGAGACAAAGACTCAGTGCAGCGTTTCTGCAGATTCTCACTGCTTGACCTGTTCTTCTATGTGTTCCTGACCGCAGTGCCAGAGGCTCAGGTAGCAGCTGCCCTGTCTCTGATCACCTCCTCTCTCCTAGGTTGCTGTGCTGGTGTCACGCACCGTGGGACATACCCAGCGGCTTATCCTGTGTGGGACTCTTGCTGCTCTGCATATGCTTTTCCTGCTCTATCTGCACTTTGCTTATCACAAGGTGGTAGAAGGTAAGCAAGGGAGATATAAAGACATCCTGTTAGATCTGGGGGAAGAGAAGTTGTTTTTTTCTCTCTCTGAGAAGGTATGGGCAGTTTGAATCTGTCCTTTGGGCATCTGTGCCAGTTTCCAGCTCTAAAATGACCGCCACTAGCTTTTTTAGAAGCTGTTCAAGTAGAGCAGCAGGTACACATTGGAGTATTTACTGTGCACTGGGTTTTAGCACTTAAGACCAAATTTATGAGGAAGGACCCTTATTACTTCCCCACAAGTAAAGTGTAACAGCACTGACTGTTCTTGCATGCAGATGTCCAGCCCTGTCCTGAATATTGTTGAAGTAAGGTTGCTTTTCTCTGATCAGGAAATGTGCCATAAGTGTTTTTCCTTCTTTGTTTAACATCTTCTTTTATCTTGTGTTGTATAGCACAGATAGCAGAGGCTGTATCTTCCTCAGCTGGTACTATTAACCAGGCCATGCACGTTCAGGTCCTCCTTCCATGTCTCTTCTTGTTTTCTCCTAACAAAGTCTCAGCCTCCTTAAAAAAAAAAAAAACCAAAACCAAAACCAAAACTCTTCTCCCACCCCATCTCTAAAGAGTTTCCAGATCCCTAAATATGCAATTCTGCAAATCTCTCTATAGAGTTTAGGCAGCCAGACCCATTTGTGATATTTCTGATAAATCTGCATAATTAGGGGTTACACATAGCATTACAAGTCCTTTTAGATATAAATCTTGTTCTTTCCTGAATCTGTTCTTATGGCAAAGGTTCTGATCTGAAGCTTTTTGGCAGATTAAATAGAACAAAATATATTCCAAGCAATTTTCCTCAAGGCACTCCAAAACTGATTATCAGTCTTAAGAGGGTCATTGACAGAGACTTGAGGACATTTGCATTGGTCTGTGTATTTCCTGCCAAGCATGGTCTGTTTGCATTGCAGTGACAAAAATTCCGTATTGCAGCACAGTGGCAGCTCCTGATGTGAGTCTGCAAGTGTATCTCAGGATGAAAGAGAGTCTTGGTCTAAGAGCAAGATCTGTGCTGGGATGAAGTAGAAACAGGATTTTAGAAACTGCCAGAGCAACTTCTCTGACAGTACCTGTATTCAGGTCAGATGGCAGGGGACTGGATCTGACACCCTCGAAGCAAAAGGATCTGTGTTCCTCTTGGGAACATGCAGTTTTCCTGCCCCGAGCACAAGCTCTGATGTGTACCCTGTGGTCTCTGGATGGAAGTGTTTACTCCTATTCAGTCTTTGGGGCTAGATGTCTCCTTCCACTCTCTGCAAGTGCTTCACCTGTTCTGGGCCCTGCCACCCTCAATCACACCCTAGTCAGAGAGAAAAGCAAGAAGAAATGCGCCATCTGCTATCATCTGAGCTAACTCTTGCCTCTCTCCCCTTTTTTCTGTTCTGCAGGTATCCTGGACACACTGGAAGGACCCAACATGCCTCCCTTTCAGAGAGTTGCCCGAGACATTCCAGTTGTTTCCAATGCTATATTGAACACAACAGCCAAAGCCATTGCATTGACCCTGTAGTTTTACAGACTTGGACTTGCTTCCTTCACTACTTTTGGGGCTGCATAGGGCCACAGTAACCTGCTGCCTCTTAGGAACAGGACAGAACAGCAAGAA